GAAACCTGTTAAGAGCCTCTTTGTCAGCCACCACTCAAAACAATTATATCATTGGATGACATAAATGCTAACAAAATATCTACCAGAATCCCACAGCTATCCATCCTCTCTATCCATTCACACTCCAAATATTCATAAGTCTCTGTGATCCCTGCACTTCAGGGTTATACACCAAAGGGGCTCTCATCCACGTCCCCATGCCTGGCCTGATCGCAGGGAGCTTTCTTCTGATCCTGCATCAGGGCAAGGAGGCAGGTGTTGTAGATTGGCTTCAGACAGTGCCCTCTGGTTCGTGAACCCCGTCTACCTCAGTTTCTGGGCTTCTGCCACCTACTTTGTTGGAATCTGGTACATGGTCAGTCAAGAGAAGAACTAGTGTTTTACTACACTGGGAAAGCATCCCGGGATACAGCTAGGGTAAAATGTCAAATGCTCACTTTGTGTTCCTGAAATTTAAGCCAGTACTGGCAAGCACAGTGTGTTTGATTTGCTTTTCTTCTTTGTAGGCTACCGACCCCTCCCCTTCATAGGCCAGGGCTCACAGTTCGTGCCACTAATCCTCTCAACCCACACTCTGGTCCAATCATCCTCTAATCTCCAGAGACTAGCCATTTCTTTGAAGGACCCTGAGCCTGGCTTCCTTATTCAGCATCCACTGAACTAAGTCCTTAGAAAGACTAGGTCTTGGAGGGTAAAGGGGACAACTTTTTATTTTTATTTTTTCAGCCCTGGGATTAAGCCTAAGGCTTCACACATTCTAAGTAAGTGCTCTATCACTGAGCTGTGTGTTTAGCTCCTTTCTAAAAGGCTTTATTTCGAGACAAGGTGTTGCCAAGTTGCATAGGCTCATCTGTAGCCTAAGTGGGACTTGAACTTGCTATCCTTCTTTCTCAGCCTTCCAAGCACTTGAGACTTCCGGCCTGTGCTGTAAAGCCTATCTGAAAACCAAACTGGAAAGAAATTTGGGTGAAGAGAAGGGTGATGAGGAGGAGCCAGGCATAGTGGCACACACCTGTAATCACAGAACCGTGGATGCCGAGGCTAGAGGATGCTAGCAAGTTCTAGACCATTCTGGGCTACAGATCAAGACCACAGCTAAAAATTTAAAAAGGAGAGACAATGCCAAGAAGGAACCCATGGCTTCCCCCTTGCATGGGACTCTGACTAATGCTACAGTTTGATTACAGCGCTTTGTAAGTAGGCTGGACAAGCTCCAGTGGCCAGTAATTCTTGAGGAAGTTTCCATCCCCCAGGACAAGGACAAGCTTCCTGGTTGACTGGGGGCAGCTCCCCAAGGCTGGGTTTCAGGTATGTAGATGCTACAGGTGGATCAAGATAGGGATGCCCTCAGCTCCAGAGGCCTCTGCGAGGGCCCGAGGCCATGAGGCAGCCATCTGTGGAAGGCAGGCCACTCTACCCCACCTTTTACTAGTTGGACTGGTTAGAGTTCTTCCAGAGAATGGCTGAAGACAGCACCCCTTTAATTGGCTTGGGGGCATAAATTCCTGTCTGTCATCAGTATTCTTGCTGACAGTTGGTCGCTTGTCCTCAAAATCCTCAGGGCTCCATCCCTTTTGATCAACATAGAAGGCAAACAGGTCCAGCTGTCCTTCTGTCCTGCTCTTCACTTGGGGCAGCTTCGGCCTTGCTTTCCGCATTCTTCCCTTGGTGCTGTTTAGCCAAGCAAGTCTGGTAGACACATAATGACAGTCACTTATATAATTTAAATTTTTCTAGTGGAGATACTTTAAAAGGAGTAAAATTAGTGTTTTTCATCCACATTTATACCTTTGTCTGTTTATGGAAAAAGATGTGCAATTTAGTTTACCAAGATATATTATAATAAATGTACCTAGATGAAGGACAGTGTGGGATACATGGCATATTATCTTAGAATGGGGAAAGGGGAGAGAGAAAGAATAAAAGAACCCGATTATTAGTACTTACTCCTAATTTGCTTCTAGAACATCCTCTGCCAGGAATCTGCCTTTTGTCTCTGTGAATTTGCCCCTTGGTCACTTCATATAAATAGAATCATATAAGGTGTGGTCTTCTGTGTCTGGTTTCCTTCACTTAGCACAATGTTTTCAAAGTTTATTCGTGTTATAGCATAAATTACAATAAAGTTATTTTATTTAGCCCAATTTATCCAAAATATTATTGTTTCATGTAGTCAAAATAAAAAAATGATTAATGATATGTTTCACTTTTTTATATTAAGTTTTTGAAGGTCAGTGTGTATTTTAAACTTCAGCCAGCTATGTTTCAAGAGTTCAGGGACCACACGTGACTCATAGCTACTACACTGGCTAGCATAGCTCTAGCCAGAATCCTTTCCATTGCTTGACTTTTTGTTTGGTTTAGTTTTCTTGTGCTTTTGTGAGTCTATGTAACCATGATGGCCTGGAAACTTGCTCTGTAGACCACATTGGCCTCAAACTTGTGGCAATGCTCCTGCCTCTCCTTCCACAGCGGCAGGATAACAGGAATGTCCAACCACCCCCACTGTTCTTTCTGTTAATCCTTCATTCTATCCCAGCATCCACTGAACTAAGTCCTTTGAAAGACTAGATTTTGCTGGACAAAGGTGGTAACTTTTTATTTTTTCAGCCCTGGGGATTGAACCCAAGCCTCACACACACTAAGTAAGTGCTCTACCGCTGCGCTATGTTTTTAGCTCCTTTTAAAAAACCAAACAAACCTTTATTTTGAGACAAGGTGTTGCCAAGTTGCAGAGGTTTGACTTGAACTCACTCTGTCACCTAAGTGGGACTTGACCTTGCCATCCTCCTCCCTCTGTCTGCCAAGCACTTAGGATTTTAGGCCTGTGCCATAAGGCCCAGTTGAAAATTGAACTGGAAAGAAATCTGAGTGACGAGGAAGATGACAAGGAGGAGCCAGGTATAATGGCTTGCACCTCTAACCACGGAACTGTGGAAGCCGAGGCAGGAGAACAACTTTCTCCATGCAACGCTCCACTCCTGGGTACCTTTTCATTCACCTAGGCACCAACTGACCCCATATTGGGGGGGTGACTTAGGGACCCTAAGCCTGTCCACACTGATGTTTTGCTAAATTCCCTTGTCCCCTGTAGAGGGCCGTAAGCTTGTTGTCTGCCTTGGTCATTGTAATAACTCATCTTGGTTGTCAACTTGAATACTTCTGGAATGAGCTAAAACCCACACTGCTGGGCATACCTGGGATAGATTTTTCTTAATTTAATGGTGTGAGGTGGGAAGACACACCTTCAATCTGGGCTAGACCTTCTAGGGACAGCCCACATACTGGACAGGGAAGAGGACGGACACTTTCTCTTTGCCTGCCTCCCCCACTCTTGGTGGCCAGTTCATTGATCTGCTGTTGAGGTATTCCTTCGCTGGTATTAGAACCCGATTCTTCAGATTCCAGGGTAGACTGCAGGAATCCTCTGGGACTCTAACACCAGACTGGGACTGCTGAGACATCTAGCCTCAGGGACTGCACAAATACCAGAGGCTTAGCCCTTCCATTACAAGACAGCCATTGTTGATTACCCGGGCTACATCCAGTAGGTCAGGATATAAGTCAAGTTGTGTGTGTGTGTGTGTGTGTGTGTGTGTGTGTGTGTGTGTGTGTGTGTGTTAGAATGAGTGAATTCTATCAGTTATGATCCTGTAGAGAACCTGGCTAGTACAGCCATTGTCAGTGGCACAGAAGTGACACAGAAGTCAGCAGGCATGTAGGTCTTTGAGGCTCACCCTCCTTGATGACTTTGCTCCTCAGGTACCCAGGGGATGGAGCATCTTGCAACCATGGAGTTTTCTGCTTCTCCCTAAGAGGACAGCCTTTTAAAAAAACAAACAACTTTTTAAAAAAGAAATCTTTCTCTTAAAAAAAAAAAACAGTCTGACATTTCTTTTTAATTTTCTCCCAGGTACATTTTTCAGTCATTGTTTTGCTAATAATAGCTCCAAGCACACAAACAGAGCTTAGTGGTGGAGAGGTTTGTGAAATTGCTCCAAGCTTCCTAACAGCTTTTTCCTGCTCTCGTCGGCCATTTCGTCCAGAAAATGGATATTTAGTCAGTACAAGGGTGCATCTTATTAGTCTACCTCCTTCCAGATTCCAGAGAAGAGAGAGAAACTTCCCATACTGCCAGTGACTGCCCAGGACCCAGGGGATTCTCTATGAAGCAGTAGTTTTATGAACCAAGCACAGTATTTATCTCAGCATGGCTCCATCTATATGGTAATGTGTAAGTGATCCCTAAAAGTTTGAGACTCTTAAGAAATGTTTGTGAAATTAAATTGCTTCTTTTTATTTGAAGAAAAACCTTATGAATTGGGGGTTATATAGTCCACAAAATAGAAGATTGAGGGTAGGCTTACTAGGCCCAAATTTAACAGGGAGATAAAAATAGCAGTATTAGACTCCTGCCCCTTTCGTTTCAGAACAGGAAGTCAGGGGGTGAGTCAGAACTGCCGGAGAAGGGATTTGGGGTTGGCTTTAGGAAAAACTTCCTGCTCATAATGGGGCCATGTTGGAGAACCTCATGGAGGGAGCTTCAGGTATACTGCACCACTGTTGGCTGCACACCTTCTCGAGATGTCCTGTTTTCTTTTTTTCTTTTTCTTTTTCTTTTTTTTTTTTTTTGGTTTTACAAGACAGGGTTTCTCTGTATTGTTTTGGAGGCTGTCGGTCCAGCCTGGCCTCGAACTCACAGAGATCTGCCTGCCTCTGCCTCCTGAGTGCTGGGATTAAAGGCGTGCACCACCACTGCCCGACCCTGTTTTCTATTTCTACTCCAGAGATTAAATCAGAAAACTCTCCCCTAAGTTCTTCTCTAGACTCTGGCTTTCCTAACTTGTATTAATATTTTTTTCTTCACTCAGAGCCGGCTTCTGTTTTTTTTTTCTTTATAATTTTTTTCTTTGCTTTGCCGGGTATCAAACTCAAAGACCTCCCAGATGCTAGGCAAGCATTCTAACCACTGAGTTCTGTGCTTTTCCTCTTCCTCTCAGCTTCCTATGAAAGTTCACAAGGCTCACAGTCCTGAGTCTGCAAACATGTAGAAGATCTGGCCCACTCCACAAGTGAAGACTTCTTCAGCCTCTCCATTAGCCCTTCACAAGGCAATAGAATTCTGAGAAATGAGAGCCAGGGAAGATGCCAATGAGGTTTGGAGACTTCCTATGAGCTAATTCATAGTATCTGTTTTCTTTGACTTCACTGGAAGGTCATATTCCACAGAGAGCAGCAGCCCCACTGCCCGCTTAGGATTCTCCACCACACCTCACTCAACAACCGCCTGAGTGTCTATGCCCAACAGTTAATACCCAGTGCCCCAGGGAACATCATCAGCATCACCATCTTCATTGACACCCAATTCTACAAGTTGTGAAGAACCAAGTTTTCTTGGGAGTGCCCGGCTATGAGTCACAGACTCATTGGCTTCCATGTGGAGTCATTTTCTGCTGTAATTAATTTTTACCCGCTGTGCACGTTCCTGAAGTTGGAGGTACCTAATGCTTGCTACGGATTCACATCCAATTTCACAATACTATGAAATCACTTCAACAGTTTCCAAGGCGATCTCCGTTTTACCCAGGCAATTCTACTACTGTTGTCATTTAAGTCTGCTTGAAATATCTTAATAGTACCATCCCCACCTCCTTCTGATTGCTTGTTTCCAAGTGGAAGGAATTCTTATGATGTAATAGGGTGGTGAGGAGAGTTTGCTTTAGTGCAGGCAAGTTATTCCATGTTGTATTTGAGTCAGTTATTTGCATCTGGTCTCTATTTGTTAACATCAAGGGGCTGTGTTTGTATAACTACCTTGAATTATGAAAAGGCTTGCACTTTGAATGATTAATACATATGTGCACACCACATGTACCAATACACAGCCATCACCATCATCCTCACCATTACCAATAAATAAGTTCCAAGCTAGAAATACCAGTCTGGGGAAAGCTGTACTGTGCCTACTATTATGAGAGAGGGAGAGGGAGAGAGAGAGAAAGAGAGAGAGAGAGAGAGACAGAGACAGAGACCGAGACAGGGAGAGGAGAGACAGAGAGATAGAAAGACAGACAGAAGAGAGACAAGTAGACAGATGTACACACAGTGAGATGGATAGAGAGATACTTAAAGTCTATCACGAAGCCTTTCTGGTTTCAATTTCACCCTCTCCTTTTGAAATAAGATCCAGTAGCCCCAGCCCTCCATCAAGAGTAAAGTAGCAGGAAGTGGCATGATAGACCACCCAAGAACTGAGGTGTCTGATGCAGAAGGGAAAAGTTCAATGAAAACTTAAAGATGACATCAAGCCTGGTACTCAGGCTCGTATTTCCCCCCTGTGAAGTTCCCTTTGCTTCAGTCCTGGGGTCATCATCTTGCCAGAGAGACCTGGGCTCCGCTGCTTCCCATGTGCACACCTAAGCCCCAAGGCAGTAGACAACCAGCCCTTTCAAAACCAGGGCTTTCAAGTCCTTGAGCAAGGTCCCTGTCTCTAGTCTCCTCAGGATGTCTGCTGTCTTCCTTTCACACACATTTCTTATCACCATCTGATGTGTTCTGTCACTTCCATTAAACTCCGAAGCTCCTGAAGACAAAGATCAGGCCGTGTTCCACTTACGTATGCACGGCACCTTCCTCCTCCTAGTACCTGGGGCAGAGGAGTTGCACAACCCTTATTGTTGGACTTTCACTATTTGTTTCGCTATCACTCTAAATCAAAGTTTTCCCTTTTAGATTGCAAGATTTGTGATGTCAGGATTTCAGTTTGTGACTCTCTGCCAGACTGTGTCATTGATCTGTGGGGGGAAGCAATCGTAGATGGGGTGTGATTTAAGGGGACTAAGAAACACCTTTTTACCCCCACCTACAGAAATTTCAAAAAGTGACACTCTGGCTCACAGCTTTGATGCTTGTTTAAATGCAAACACCTCGGGGAGCTTGATAAGTTGTCTGTGGCTTCCGGGAAGCTAGAGGGAGATAACAAGCCTTGGAGGGAGGTAGGCAACGCCACTGGAAAAGCAGAGGGAGGGCTTTGCAGTTAGTCCCATTCACACCCCAACCTCCCCCCACCCGTTTTTATTTGTTCTTTGTGTCTGCCACATCGTGCATCTCCATCCCATTCATTTCCCCGTCCCTTTGTGTCCTCTAATCTGCCTTCGTAACCTCCCCACCAACATAAAATGAAATTTAAGAGAAAAGAGAAAAAAAGAGAGAGGGAAGGAAGAACTCAATCTTGTTATGAAGCCAGTAGCGTGACACAGTGAGTCGTGCAGTAAACATTTTATCCATCTATCTTTTAATTGCAAGTGTTCGTCATTGGTCTGGTTTGAGGCCTCTGGTTTCTGCTACTCTATTGATGCTGGGCCCTCACTGGAACTTACTCTTAGTTAATCCTGCTGTTCTCCTGTGTCGGGGAAATCCTGCAGCTTTGGGTCTGCAGGACCTCTCCCTCCTGTACTCCAGCAGATCACAGATGGTGTTGATGCTGGGGTGGGCCAACACATAATCTTAGTTCTGGGCCTGGGTAGTTGCAGGGCTGGTCAGCCCGCCAGCTCTCCCCTGTCCTCACCACCAGGGTGAGTTCTCCTGCATTGCCCTGGCTAGTTCACCCCTTGCAGCCATGAGCAAGGGTGGCGCCAGTTTTCCTGCTTTCATGTCCACAGGGTTGGCTCTCCCACATCACCACCTCCGGGGTCAGCTCCACTGCTGCCCAGGCGTGCCTGATGAGGGGCAGGACCAGCTAGCTCTCCTGCTCTTATGACCTCAAGGCCAGCTCTCCCACCGGCCTGCCTCAGGCATTCACGGATGGGGGGGGTCTCTTCCCTACCCATGCTGCCACATGACAGATGGGTAATAGGGACAGCTCTCCCATGCTCACAACTTCAGGGCTGGCTCACACACACCTCCACCAATGGGGCTGGCTCTATTGTGCTGCCCACACAACCTTTCTTGTAAGATAGCAGGGTATAGCTATGAAGAATCCTTCTCTATGTCAAGACTATGAGTGAGAAGGGGTGTGGGGACTGGAGAGATGGCTCAGTGGTTAAGAGTATTGGCTGTTCTTTCAGAACACTTGAGTTCGATTCCCAGCACCACAAGGTGCCTCACAACCGTTGGCAACTCCAGTTCCAGGGGATCTGATGCCCTTTTCTGCCTTCCGTGGGCACCAGGAATATACGTGCCACACAAACATGCATGCAGGCAAAACATCCACACGTATTAATAGAGGAAGAGGAGGAGGAGAAGGAGGGGAGATTAAGAAAGCTCTGAACACTTAACGAGAGTAACCATACTACCGCTCCCAGCTGCCCCCCCCAACCCTATTACTGTCCCCACCACACAGATAAATATGGATGCCCAGAGACCCTCCATGTCAGTCAGACATAAGGCAGCCAGCTCCGGAGAAGAATTATTGATAATTAAATAATTAAACTCACCTTCCCATGTCCCCTTTCGGCATTCACCTTGACTGTAAACAAGGAAAGTAACCCTGGGTGTGGGGAACAGAGCGACATCTTTCGCAGAAGGAAGAAGCAGAGTTCCCATCATTTCTGAATCCCTCTGCAGAGAAGAGTTGTCAAGCAATGGCAGCAACACGATGCTGTGAACACCATCTGAAAGCATCAATGTGAGCCACTATTGCAGTGTCTGGAAGCCCTCTATTGCAGTGGTTCTCAACCTGTGGGTCGAGACCCCCTTTGGATTGCATGTCAGATATTTGCCTTACAACTCGTAACAGTAGCAACATTACACTTACGAAGTAGCAACAGAAATCATTTTATATTTGGGGGGGTCACCACATCATGGGGGACTGTATTAAAGGGTGACAGCATCAGGATAGCTGAGACACACTGGTCTATTGGAACTCACCCACTCAGATGCTTTATCGCATGCAACTAACCAGAGGTTAATCAGAGCAGCCATTCCATCGCTGTTCACACCCTCATGGAGCAAGGCCTGCTAGTGCGGGGTGCTGCTCTCCGTATGTGTGTGCAAGGTTGTGTGTAAGTTACTGTGTGAATAAGTCAACAGCTTCTTTTCCTTGAGGAGGCTGAGTTGAGAAAGTTCATCTCGATGCTCTCTGCAAGAGACTCTATTACTCTTTACCCTGGGAAAATGTGATAAGGACTAGCTCGCTAGAACTAGGGTGATTCCCCAACCACCCGAAGGCGATCCAGGGAAAACAACCACCAGATAAACAGTGAGGCAAGAGGCAAGGCAGCACCGTGTTCTGATAAGGGTTTGGCACAGGTGTAGGGTTAGATGGATTGGTAGGACACTGGAAATGAGATTGCTTGATAACCCCCCCACACACACACACACAGCAGTCCTCAAGAAAACAAATAAGCATGACTGTGAGGTGACCTGGACGCCCATGCCTCTTCTGCACAGGCCCAGCCATTGCTGGAGTTCCTTATCTAAGAGGCTCAGGGGTGACCAAGCTGAGCAGCTAGTGTTCAGGAGCCGAAGCAAACTGCTGATTGCCACCCAGGACCACACCGCTGCCATGATCACCTGTTCTCCTGAGTTTGGGGAATGAGTCTTTGCCATGCACAGGTAGTACCAGAGAGAAAACACTGGTTCCATTGCCAGGCTCTGCAACCTTCCTGAAGATCACAAGTTTAAGAGATTTTTACAGATAGTGTGTCTTCAAATCCTTTTTTCCCCTTTATGGTGTGAGAGAAAATTCTTAAAAGCAAACCTCTTAGACCTTCCCTGAAGCATGGTCCTAATTAGTTTTATCAACAACAAATCAGGAGTCAGATACGGGGTAAAACCCGGAAGATCAGAGAACCAGGGGCAGCCACCAGTTGCTTCCTTGCATTCTCATTCCTCAGTCGGAAAGGGCTGAGATCCTGTCTACACCCCACCTTATCACTTCCCGTCTCTACCTCCCGAGCGCTGCTGGAGTTAAAGGCCTGAGCCACGAGTGCTGGGATTAAAGGTGTGAGCCACCACCATCTGGCTTCTGTGGTTAACTAGTGGCTAGCTCTGCCCTCTGATCTCCAGGCAAGCTTTATTTGTCAGAATACAAACAAAATATTGCACACTTCTCAGATTATAATTTGGGGCCTTTGGGGTGACTGATCTCTAGAATGAACTATACAGAGAGCTTTCCTTATTATCACTAGAGGTCACAGTTTATGTCTTTGTACACAGCTGGTATTGATGTGGGATAATGCTCTTGTTCACTGTAAAGACTTGTCACTCATATTGGCTTAATTAAACACTGATTGGTCAGTAGCTTGGCAGACAGTATAGGCAAGGCTACCAGACTGTCAGGAGAATTCTGGGAAGAGGAAGACAGAGAGACTCAGTCACCAGCCAGATGTAGAGGAAGCAAGATGAGAATGCTTCACTGAGAAAAGATACCAAGCCATGTGAGTAAACATAGATAAGAATTAGTGGTTGATTTAAGTTGTAAGAGCTTGTTAGAAATAAGCCTGAGCAATAGGTAAAACAGTTTACAATTAATATAAGCCTCTGTGTGTTTATTTGGGAGTGAATGGCTGCAGGATCAGACAGGACTGAAACTTCTGTCTACATGGTGGAGTATCAACTTGTTGAGATTTTTGGAAGATTAAAACCACCAATAAAATGCTGAGAAAAAGTTGTACTTTACTCTTGAACTTGTAAGATAGTTTATAGTTTACTATGAAAGAATTTTCAGTTCAGTGACAGCTTTGGCCTTCACCTCTATCCAGTGGCACAGAGAGTGTTGATAGCTACTTAGGTTGGGCTTCTCCTCTCATCCCTGACTAACATTAGAGCCATGATAAGGATCCCACCCAGTCCAGGGGTTATCTGTATTTAGAGAGTGTTAAAGGGGTTCTTTCTAATTCTGGAGAAAGAAGTTTTTATTTTTTTTCCTTACCACATTCTATAAGGTTTTCAAATATCAACCCTAAGTACTTCTTGAACTAGCTGTAGGTAACCTTTAACAGATGGGAGTGAGAGACGTCTAATTCTTCTCTACATCTGCTCTGGAGAGCTTACAAAGAATCCATGAGGTCTTACCATCGACTACACTCACTTTCCAGCTTCTTTAAGATATATTAATAATGTGTGTGTGTGTGCATGAGTGCCTGTGTGCATGTGTGTGTGCATGCATGCCTATGTGTGTGTGCATGTCTGTGTGTGCGTGCATGCCTGTGTGCATGTGTGTGTGCATGTCTGTGTGTGCATGCATGCCTGTGTGCATGTGTGTGTGCATGCTTGCCTGTGTGTGTGTGTGTGTGTGTGTGTGTGTGTGTGTGTGTACTCACCATGGCTCATGTGTGGAAGTCAGAGGACAACTTACAGGAGTGGATTATCTTCTTCTACCACGTTAGTCCTGAAGACACAACTCAAATCATCAACTTGGCAGCAAGTGCCCTTACACACTGAGGCTTTGTGTCACTCTCAGATGCATACTACTGAGCGATGCTCTAGCTCTTGGCATCTCTAGTTGAGTACTCTGTGTTTTCAACCCTATTCTCCTGGGGAAGAGCAGAGTCCTTGCTCAGCACTGGGCCCTACCTTAAGGGAACACTTTCTTTTCGCTTAGGGTTTGAGTGTAAGTAAAAGGCTCTTTCACTGGAAGACTCTTCAGTAGTCATTAGCTTGCCATTGTGACTGAAGTTATTGCTGTTCGTACACTCATCTTTATTGTCATCTTGAGCACACAAACACTCATAACCTTGGGGACAGTATATATGAATGAGGTGAGTGGACCACTCAGACCTTTAACTTCAAACTCAAAGGGAGTTCAGATCATGGCAGTCATTGAGCAGTATTGATTGGAAGGAATGCATCACCATCATATGGGTCATAAATAAACTCACAGAAGCAGGACTTGCAGTGTGTCTGTACAGGAGAGGCCCAGTCAAGGAGTAAGGGACTTTGGAAAGTGTAAACTCTTTGTCCTTTCAGAAGCTCCTGGCTGCCCACATAACAGGTTGCTTACAGCCGTGACTGCACAAAAGTGTTATATCAGCAGCCGCCCATCAACAAATCTCATTGTTAAGGTGCATCCAAGGTCATGACAATGCCAAAGCTGTCTATTAAGAATTGCAACAGGCCACATTGCTGACCCATCAGCAAGAATCAGGATGTGTGGAGAAGTAACGCAGGCCAGAAAGAGTTTCAGCTGAACCCCAGTCGTGCTCTATGTTACTTGCCGGGTAGAGCCAAGTCCTAGCTCTCAGAAAAGCTGCTCTCTCCATTTGCAAGCAGAGACAGGGCACCCAGGAGGGGCCCCAGGAGGCTGGGAGTATGCTCAGGCAAAAGTGAAACTCAAGCCCTGAAAGCTAAGCCCCAAATCCAAATATGCTGTTACGCAAAGCGTCCGCAGATTGGCTCGTGCTTGGTTATCGTATGAGGTTACTGGTTGGCATGTACTGCGCAATTCTCTGGCATGCCCGTGGCTCATCAGTGGCATTCCTTCTTGAGTCAACACTGACCCGCAGCCTGGCTCAGGGAGGACGCTTCAGCCTCGTCCAAGAGGCCATCGTTTTACGTGAAACCTAAAGCGCACAGTCCTGTTGTGCTGGCGTCATCCTGTTTGGCCTTTCATCTCCAAGGATGACCCGGTGAGTAGAACCAAAGAATGCTTGAAAGGCTTGAGGAAATATCCCGGGGGTTGCACCTAACTGTTGAAGTGGTGAAGAGTTATCTGGCATCAGCTGGATGGATGCCAAAAGTTACAATCCCGGCCAGGACTTTGGAGGCCAAGGGAGATGGCATCTCTCACGGGAGCGGTGTTAGGCCAATTACAATGTTCAGCATTTTCCCAGCACTCCGAGTTCAGAGCTCTTTGCAATCAGTTTGTTTCTTTAGCTGGGTTTCTTAAACACACACTACCCCTTGTGGAGCTCTCTGGGCCTCCACCCAAGAGCTAAAGGATACAAAGAGGAAGAAGAAAAGACTGCACAACTGACTCTACCCAAAGGGAGGAACCAAGCCAAACATTTCAGCGTTGCGTTGTTCTCCAAAAGCCTGTCAATACTTACAATAGGGGGACCAGGACGAGCCAAAATGTGCAGCAATAGAAGGTTGGCTCTGCACAGTGTAGAAAAAAAAGCAAGTAGTCATTAAAATCAAGCTGTAGATTATGGAGGAAACTTTAATGATGTGGAAAAATATAAACAAGAGATTGTCAAGCAAGGGGAGTTATAAGACCGCGTGCATGTCTGGTTGTATTTTGTAAACACAGAATACATACTTTCTACTTGATGTACACATCCAGAAAAAACAAAACAAAACAGGAAAAGTATAAGTTAAAATGCTGATAGCAATACTCACAGGTAAGGATTGATGAATGAGTTTTTTATTTATTTTCCTCCAAATTATTTACAATTTCAGCACTTATTTTTTATTTTAAATATTTTCAATATTAAAAAATATACTCATAGTATTCAGGTCAAGAAATACAGGAATTTTCTCCCTTTTCCTCTAATATATCTGGGACACACTTTCCTTCTTTTGTTTCTTTCTTTCTTTTCTCTTCAATTTTTTTTGAGTTTGAGCCTTACAATGTAACCTAAGTTAACTTTGAACTCTTGACTCCCTTGCCTCAGCTCCCAAGTGTGGAATCACAGGAGACAGGAGTGTATCACAATCTTTCTTTTTCCTTGCTAAGTCAGTCTGCTATATCTCCAGTCAGTGGAAATGGGAGTAGCTTCTACAACCTTCTTGCTGCAGGCAGAAAGTGGAGTTGGGAGTATCAGGGCTGGAAGGGAAGGCACAGTGATGGGATGTAACTTTTCCTAAACTCTGACGATGAGGGTCTAAAGTTTAAGTCTTCCAACTCCATGTCCAGTGTTGTTCTCACAGCGCCACACTACACAGTAGGGAATGGGTACTATTCCAAAGAGCTATTTTGCTGATGTTTTATTTCAGCCTTAGCATCCCTGGAGGGAACTGGGGGAGACCACCCCCCTTATTATATGGATAATACTTGCTGACACATGCTAGGCTCTGGGCATGGGGTATGAAGCCAAGCTATTTCTTGTGAATATCTTACATGTTCTCACATGATCTCTTGGGGGTTGGTAATGTGTCTGTGCCTATTTTACAGATAAGAAAAATGAAGCTTGGGAACACTGAGCAATTATCAGGGAACCTACAGTTAAGACATGATGGAGTCAAGACTCAAACCTATATTTATAGGCAGGTTTGTTTCTTAAACGTTGTGCTTGACCTCTTGGCAGGCTTAGCACATACGTGTTTTAATTACTCTTTCCTTTCCCCTAGTTTTGTTACCCAGGCTTTTTCAAATAGAGAAAAACAGGAATAATGCTACAAAATGCAGGCCAGTGTCAGGCAGGGTTCAGGGGCCCCTACTTGGCATTTAGGACTCACTGTCAAAAATCTAGGGTCAAAAGAAAATGAAACACCCAGTTCAACCACAATGGTTCTCGGCTGCTGGCAACGGAGACGCTGGCACTTTGCCTCCAGGAGTTCAGCCTGTCCCAAACAAGGTGCTGGCTCCCCAGGTATTTGTAGTTCTTATGTAACCGTGCACCACTTTCAACCTGGCCAACACGTTAGTGCTTGTAGGTAAAGCTCATCTTTTTTTCAGTGAGACATACAATGCACCCTGAGTCATGTGTAAAGGGCTCGAACAATGTTTTCATTGTGAACAGAGCCCTAAGGGCCTCATCTTACAATCCTCACATGTGTATTGTGTCACCCGAGTGGAGAAAGGGCCTGCCTGGTGCTGGGGCCTCTGATCATCTGCACCAACAACAGGCGGTCTGGGGCATGCCATGAGCTGTCTGTCACCCACCCATCACTGCTCTTCTGGTTGGAGACGTGGGGCTTACTCGAATGTCCTCTTCATTTACTCTTCTTTCTACTTTTAGCACTCACCATGCTTGCCTTCAATCTCTTTGCCTTATCTAATTTCTTATTTGTTTTCTTGTGTCTTGGAAAGCAGTGTCTATTGACTCCATAAAGCACAGAGATGAGAGTTGAACCCCCTTTTCTCTCTTCAAATGCCCCCTCTCTGCTCCACACCCTACCTCACACATATCTTTCCTAACTCTCTCTCTCTCTCTCTCTCTCTCTCTCCCTCTGTGTGTGTGTTGTGCATATGAACGTGTTTTTTTTAATTGACTTCCACATTAGTTTTTGAGATAAGGTATCTTCACTGAACCTAACTAGAGCTTGCCATTTCAGCTAAGCTGTCCTTTCCTCCCTCTACTGATGTTGCAGATGCTCAGAGCCACATCTGGCATTTTCCATGGGTGCTGGGAACCAAGACTCAGATCTCCATTTTCCCAGGAATAACTTTGTCCACTGGTTTTTCTTCCCAGCCTCTCTCCTGTCAGAATTATATCAGTTAATGGACTATGATACCCACAGAACATGGAGACCTGTGTGCTGAAGTAAGTCAACACGTTGCTTCGGGATCCAGATGCCAGGAGAAATTTCTCTCCTTAGTCCCATGTAAATCTCATGCTCTCTGCAAGTGAAGTGGTGATACAGAAGAGCCCTTTCTTCTTAGCGTTGTTAAGAGCCCCTGTATTAGGCTCCAAAGCTCTGGGCTTCGGGGTTCAGCTTATATGTACTGTTTGTGGATAATTGAGACCATAGTACTGAACTCCTCTTTGCCTGGGTAACTGCCTACAAATGAAAGTAATAAAAATGAGACCTCCCTATTGGCGCATCAGAAGATTATAGTGGTTGATACACATCCAATCACTCAGTATAGTGCCCAGTGCAGAGAAGCCTTCTTTCTCCAAGAATTGTCCATCATGGTCTTTCTTCGTGCTTACAATGGTGCTTGCAGGGTCCCACAGTGGAAACTCCATCCTCTTGCTTTCTGCTCTTCGGCTGTTTCTTCTATCCTGATCATGACCATCCTGCCCTGGGTCTGTCTTCACAAGTTCTCTTTTATGCCTTCTGTTCAGATGAAAGCCAAGCTACGGAGGGCCCAACTCGCACATGAATGTAAGAACTGAAATAGGAAGAACCGTGTGGCAGGTTCCTCCATCACAGTTTCTGTCCTTAATTTATAAGAAGAACAAGTATGACCTCCTCGATAGTTTTGTGCGGTCTTTACAAATCATACCATAGCTAATTTTCTCCTTAAATGATATTATGTACATGTGCTGGTTGTTTTTATGTCAACCTGACACGAACCTAGACCTATCTGGGAATGGGGAACCTTAAGGGAGAAAATGCTTTGGTAGGACTGGCCAGTGTACAAATCTGTGGTGATATTTTCTTGATTAATGATTGATGTGGAAGGGTCTAGGCAACTGTGGGTAGTGCTGTCCCTGCGAAGGTAGTTCCCGGGGTGTGTAAAAAAGTAGGTTGAGCAAGCCATGGAGAGCAAAGCAATGTTCCTCCATGGTCTCTGCTTCATTTCCTGACTCCAGGTTCCTGCCCTGACTTCCTTTGATGATAGACTGTTATATGGAAGTGGAGGCTGAAATAAACCCTTTCCTTCCCAGTTGCTTTTGGTCATGCTGTTTGATCACAATAACAGAAACCTAACTAATTTAGAGCAAGGCTCAGGGTTCCATAAAGTGTGCATCTCACTTGTTTGCCATTGTAAAATGAATCTATTCCAGTTAATGGAAAGAAAAGGAAGAAATTAAGACCTTCTTTTTCCTTAACTCTCCCACCTATGCTCATCTTGTAGTCCCAGAGTTTAAAAGAGCTCACATCTTACAGGAATTCGACCAAGGGTGATGGTAGAACACGAAGACAGCTTATGTATTTGGTTAGGCTCTTCAAAGAGGCACGGAAAGAATGTATGCACCCGGATCCTCCTTACCCACAAGGAAACCCAGAGTACCATCTCTTTAAGTGAGGCATGTATCACAACATGGCATCGACCCCAGAAAGTGCACAGAGCCAGAGTGTCCCCAGCATCAACACCTTCCAGGATAGAAACTGAATTCATTTGCCAGCAACCAACTCCAGGGGACAGTGCCAGAAAGCACGGGACTGCTTGCATTCATTTCTGCGAAGTGAATCAGGGTTGCCGGGTGTCAATGATGAGATGTGAAAGTTCAACCAAAAACCCGATGGTGGTCACTTTGGTTTCCCCTCTGTGGAAACACAGCTTCTCACTCGGAGGGTTTATGTCATGTGTGATATTGGCATGTTGCTCTGGGTGTTCTCTGTGCCCTTCCCGTCCACACAAACACATTTTTTCAGGTAAAGCCACTGGAAGGTCCTATTTCAAAAGAAGAAGGATTGTGAGCATGGCCAAGACAATCTTTCCATTTGTAAAAATAATGTAAACCCTTTAGAGTATAATGTCCTGCAGAGCAGGGGAATTGTACCACAGCAATAAAATTGTCAGCTTTCAATAATAAGCCACATTTTTCATGGTATTTTGTCACTGGAAAAGCACTTTTTAATAATCATTATGTATTTACCCATTTATTTACTTATTCTTTCAAAATCAGAGCCACATTAAGACTTTCATCAGCCTTAGGCACATTTGCCTTCTCGGGCCTCTTTCTCCATTAACACACATGCACACACGCACATACACGCACACACATGTGTGCACACACACACACAAGAGGGGGAGGAGGTTCAGGGCTATGTCTGAAGCTGAGATCTGTCACAGGCCCGGCAAGAGCACTGAGGAGCCAACTCCTAACACCACAGAGAACAGGAGGGTCAAGGGGAAATGTCTCCAAAATCTTTCAGAAATTTGGGATTTGGGGCTGAGTTTCACATATCAGTGTTTCCAGAAGGGCACTTGAAGAGTTAAGAAGTAGATGTTGGCCAAAAGAATTAGTCTCACTATGTGGAGCGGTAGTGGACTGCATAGTCCCTTAGCAAGTGGGGTTTGATTTCGCTACACTGTGGATACACAGGAGGACCTTGACGTCAAACAACGGTGACATCAGCTGAGTGGGCCATGGGTACTGGGTGGACGATGCTGGCTAAAAAGAGGGGTGAGAAGTCCGGGTAATCCAGGTACTTCTGAGGGGAGTCACGTGCTCAGGGCCATGAAAAACCTTTTCCTCCTATTATACACAAGAGCATGGTTAAGACAGAACATAAATCTCCCCCACGCTGAAGAACAACCAGGTGGGGAAAATGTATGTCTTTTAAGCCCTGATCGTAACCTGGCAATGCAGTTGTCAGGCCTTCGAGGCCCACGAGTCCGCCAAGCTGCCACGGTTGGAATATCGACAGCAGATATTCCAGCTACCTCAAGAACTTCCAAATTGCTTTTTGTGCACATCAGAGTTCCACTATGTGAGTGTTTTTGTTGTTGCTTGTTTGTTTCATAGTCTCCATTTTGTTGTTTTGTTTTGGGTTTTTGAGACGGGGTTTCTTTGTGTAGTTCTGGCTGTCCTGGAACTGACCAGGCTGGCCTTGAACTCAGAGATCCACCTGCCTCTGCCTCCTGAGTGCTGGGAGTACAGGCATGTGCTGCTGCCACCACCTGGCTGTCTCTGTCTCTGTCTCTGTCTCTGTCTCTGTCTCTGTCTCTGTCTCTGTCTCTGTCTCTCTTTCTCTAATGAGTTAACTGAGATCTGGAGCCTTCAGATAACCTGCTTTCGTGCATAGCAGAGCTGGTATTCAAGCTGAAACATCCCAGATCTGAGGTTGATGTTCTGGGCTACAGACTCCACTCTTCCTAAGGCCCCTTCGTGTCTGACCGCTGTCTGCCTCTGACCAGTAGCTGCAGTAGCAGCGCCTCACCAGCAGTGTAGATCAGATAGGAACCCAGTCAGCCCTGAGGTGAGCGCACCACAAGTGCCTCAGGAGGCTGACACGCTAGCACGCATGCGTCAGTATCAGGCTTTTACAGAGTCTCACAGCATCAAAGGATTCACCGCTGCAAGCATGGGCAGCAATGCCGCATAAAACACAAGACGCCCAGTTAGCTTTGATTTCCCGACAAACCACTAATACTTTCTTCATGTCAGCCAACCCTAAATATAACATGGCATGTAGGTATGATGATTCAACAAATTCTTTGTCTTTTATCTGAAACGGAAAGTTAACTGTCTTAGGGTTTCTATTGCTGTGATGAAATATCACTATCAAAAAGCGTGTTGGGGGGAAAGGGTTTATTTGGCTTCCAGATCATAGTCCATCATTGGAGGAAGCCAGGACAGGAACTCAAATAGGGCAGGATCCTGGATGCAGGAGTTGATGCAGAGACCGTGGAGGAGTGCTGTTTACTGGCTTGCTCCCCATGGCTTGTTCAGCCTGCTTTCTTAGAACTCAGGACCACCAGCCCAGGAATGGTACCACCCACAATGGACGGGGCCCTCCCCCATTAATCACTAACTAAGAAAATGCCTTTCAGGCCTGCTGACAACCCCATCTTATGGGGGCTGTTTCTTAATTGAGGTTCCCTCCTCTCGGATGACTTTAGCTTGTGTCAAGTTGACATAAGGCTATTCAGCTCATTAACTGGGTGTTGTGTTTATATTTTCTCAGTGTGGCAGCCCTAAGCAGTAGCCTGACTATATGTCCTGCTTGGGACATCCCTCTTCCCCTGCTCAACTCCTCAGGCCTCGTGCAGCTTTGGCATCACGTACTCAGTGAAGACCTCATGCCTTTGTTTCATCTCAGTTCTCTTGAAACTCCAGGCTGTAATCCAACAGGGCAAGGGCCTTGCCAGGCACACAAGGTAACTCCCTAGTCACAGCCTTCCTGTAGACAGACACTGTTTCCCTCATTGTAAAACCCAAATCCCAATCAATGAACTCGAGGTTCAGGAAGGTAAATCCATTACCAAGACTCTCATTCGCGCTCACGCTCCTCTAGTTTCCTTCCTTGAAAGAGCTTCCCGGGTTCCCCTTGAGAGACACTTAAGCATTATTAGAATGGCATTAATTAGTTTAGACCATCATTGGCTCATTAATAACTACCTCCATTTGTTGGTAGAAACTCCCAGCTTTGCAGTCAAAGGGATCCTGTGACATATGGACTGAGCGAAGCAGTCTCAAAGCGGTATAGCGTCAAGATGCCCGCCATCTCTCCTACTCTACTTTAGTTGAGACCGGCAGAATTAAAACAGAAAGCTTTCAACCTTCGATCTTTACAATAAGCATAGAATGCATTAGCATCTCTATGCAGGATTCATATCATGTCCGTTCCACCCAGGATGACTGATAGCAGAGACATCAGTCCACAAAGCTCGAGGTTTAGTTGCCGTGCACTCTGCATCGAGTGTAGTTCCCTTAAAATTGCACTTCCTCGTAGGTTAGCCCCCCAAAAGCCAAACTGTGATGAACTTCTGGCTTAGAGGAAAATGGCCAGCATTAGAGAAAGCCTGTGCCACAGGTCTGCGGTGGACGCACACAGGACTGAAAGTGCATCCTAAAGAGGGACTGAAAGTGCATCCTAAAGAGGGTCAGACCTCACCTGAAAATAAGCAAAGAAAGTCATAGGCCTCTGGACAATGGGGATGACTGTACCTAGAAACATTTCTCTGTAAATGCTGAAATGGAAGCAGGTTTTGGCTCTCTTTGTTTGCTAGAAGGATGCTACAAAGAACCAACCATCCTAATGGAGGTGGGGAAATTGTCCCCATGGTGTTGGCTGGCCATGCTCCCAAATCTGCCACCTCTGCTGGTGCCTCCAATAATCCAATGAGCCTTCTCTTACAGTAGCCCAGGGAAGCAGGATGATTAGAGGAGGACAGGCTCCATCCAGTTCCCTGTCAACTCCCTGCCTGTTCCCCTGTCATACATGAAAGAAATCAGTTGTTTGTTGAGAGTGGTAAAACTAGTATTTCTCTAAATCCTGGATGCTCGTGTGTCTGTGTAAGCAAGCTGTCCTCCACAGCTGTCCATGTGTATGTGTCTTGCTTGGGAGTCTGAGGCTGGCTTCCCACTCCAGATCCATCATTGCATGGCTCTGTGACTTTAGCAAGCCCCTCATCTCTCAGGAGCCTCGTTTTGCCTCATCTTTGAAATGGAATGGTTGCATCATGTAGATACATAGGAAAGGTGGAGAGTAAGTTACAGAGTAGGTTTACTAAGTAGGTTGATTCTAGATGTCTGCAATTTTAAGCACCACCCTTAAAACTAGTGAAGACAACTTCGTTTCTTCTTGCTTGGGTTTTCACCTAAGGTTTCCTTACAGAGTTCTGTTATCTTCTAGACAAGACACTTGGTGTAGTTTTGTTTTGTTTTTGTCTTTCCTTGTGTTGCTAAGGAAGTGATTGAATATGGTAAGCAAATCAATGTCCTACACTGAGCTACACCATTATGGTTTTTTATTGGCTTCTGGAAACAAGCACAAGGCTGTCTCTTAGTGACCTTCCAAATGTAATATACTTCAACTCCATGAATCTAAAATAAAAACTTAGGCTTGTCCGTTTTCAAAGATTTTATGTGATTATTACCTATTAATGCACAGATATCATTACATTATACTCCATAAAATTTGCACAATTAATGGTTATTTTTATTTGTGTTTTGAAATGGGTTCACTACCAGCCCAGGTGATCTTGAACTTGAACTCTGCCTCCATCTCTTGAGTGATTGGATGACAGACACATATCATCACACCCAGTCCTAAGATATTCTTTTTAAAAGAGCACGCACTATTTGGGAAGTTGAGATACATAATAATATATTTATGATCCGGAAGATTCTTGTAGGATATATCAAGTTTTTAGAACCCAAGCCCCCGCATTTGTCACACATGAAAAAGGCTCATCTGTTAATTATTCAGTCACTAGTACAAAACTGGAACACAACTGTATAAAGAAACCGCCCTGGAAACATCTCTGCATGTAACATACAGCTCTTGCAATTGAAACATCTTTTTCTCTTTCATATCAGTAGTTATTTTATGGATCTGGGCTTAGACAGCTTAGCAACAAAGGGCACTGGGTTACTGAATTATTCATGTAATCTACATTTCCTGGCTGCTGTGGATAATTGACAGGTGTCATGTCACCTTCTACAAATGTCCCACAATTATGGACCATATATCAGTGTTTGACTTCGCGGTAATGCTTCCTTTCTGAGCCAGTTTCATATTTTATTTACAGCTTGGTGGCATTTTTTACTTGGCCGCCTGTTTCTTTCACTTTTGAATCCAAGCCTTTTGCTCCACTTAATATACCCAGGAATATTTAAATAATAAGGCTCCTCTCGGTTTGCTAAAGGCAGTCATTCATTGCTGCCGTGTTTTATTCATTCGGCTATTATGTTAGTCAATTCCTTGATTTAAGAAATGTGGGGTGAAATGCAACTGTAAGGAAACCATAATATAAATCTGGTTTTATGGCTTGTTTTGTTCACAGGGAAAAATCTAAAAGCAAATCTTCCTGGGGTCTGACACAAGTTGTAAACTGTAGGGAAAGTTGGCTAGTTAGAGAGTA